GCCATTAATTCTAACATACAAGTACCATTATCACAATTTTTAGGCCTAATAAAGCCACTAAACTCAGGTTCATATTAAAGCTGCTTAGAGTAGTTTGTAACCACCTTCTGCATCTAACACCAATGCCCACTATCAGTCCATTAATTGTAGCCTATAGAGGTTACACCACCTTTAAGCATGCTACAACCACCACCCTTAGGTTTAGTGTTCTTTAGTCCTGCTCCTAGCATTGCGCTTAGGCTTTGCACAAAGGCCGCCTTCAGTTCCAATGAACTTCTGACCTTTAGGCTGATGGTATAGACACCTTTTGTGCTTATAAGCACCGACACCTACCTCCTGCAAGTCTGACTGTCATCCATTGTGATGGAGTAAAAGTTAGGGTAGTAACCAAGATAAAAAATAAACACACTAAAACAAACAAATATGGTTAAAAAAAGAATCCAGAGCTCTTTCTGATAGATTTATTCCATTGGTTGCACTAAAAAAAACAAATTTGGCTAGTTTCCAAAAACAAAAAACCCTTAAGACCAAAAGATACCATCTTTATGCTGAAAGAACTTCATAATTTAGCATCAAATTCCAAATAAACGCGTTATGCATGCAAAATACTACTTTAGAACATGAAATTGCAGCTGATAAAGGTGGTAAAGAATATTTAGATGTTGTGGGTGAGGACGAAGAAATAGATCCTAAAATTGAAATTGTTCCCCTTCGTCCAAATAAATGTAATACATCATATTGAATTAACAAGATTTCATCAAATCTTTTCTGTCATAGGATAAGCCTGATTGTTAAAGGACTCCTCTGAATTGTTTGAATTGTATATAATTAGAATCATATACCTATAATTGCATTACAATGAAATATATGAACCTTCCTGGACAATAATTTCCATATAGAAATCAACAAAAAGAAGCTCCTGTAGTTTACAGCTAACGACTCATGTTCATTTGATCAAACCAAAATCAAACACACGAGCGCGCACATACTCTTCTACTACAGGGATCATAACAAATTGGCATCAAAATTGAGTTTTTTTATCAAGAAATAATGATATTTGCTTAATTTCATGAGTTTTTAGTTGTTTGGTATGGTCATTCAACTAAAAGCTTCAAACAAAACATATACACAAACGCATTTGCGTTACCTTGATGCAACAAGAGCAAGGAGAAGGTCAAGAAGATGTTGACTTCAGATATTCAAACACACAATTCCAGAATTACTATCCTGATTTCAACAGTAATGCGAAAGCAATTTGGCAGGTAAAGCACAGGGATTTAGGGCTGATTTGAAAAGAAATCAAACTCGGTTTTGTAGTGGAGTTGCGAGAGAGGAGGGATGTTTTTGAAGGCATGAAAAGGGGGCTTTTGCAGGTTGTTACGGTAGACTGAGGAGGCTCGGCTATTTGTCGGAGCAGATGATGTAAGGAGATTGCTATGGCGTCGGAAAAAAGCCGGTTTGCGGGCTTTTACTGATGATAACTCGTTTATTTTTAGGATAACTAACAAAGTAGCACACAATTCTTATGTATTTCGCATCAAAATATATATATATATAT